CTTGACTTCCATTACCCTCAGCCTCACTTTCCAACAAATATCTGTGAATGATGATTATTAGTTTATTATTCGGAGCACGGGAACGAGGATGGACTAAGGAGACATTGCACTCTGGAAGGTTTTTTGTAAAATCTACACAGTGCTTCAAACTGTCAAAGATCATTAGAACAAATGAATCCAGGGGAAGAAAATTGCTCGGAAGTACATTTATTTTGATTTAGAAATATTAAGTGAAATGGAAGCAACATAGATGAAACATTAGACTGCGGAATTGAGAGCTGGAAATTTCACTCGATGGCTTCTTTCTCTGGGTAACCGTGCAGACTGTGACAAATATTTACATCTTTATTAATTATTATTATCAATGGGCACTCAATGGTCCCTATAGCAGTTCCACCTCTTTGTACAGCAGCTGCTTCCTTTCAAGCAGTAGATTGAGAGAAGTAATTATTATGAGCTACAATCCATCTCCGTGCTACCTTGTCCTCCCTTCATCCACCCCAAACATATGATCCACATCCTACCAAGTAAACCATGTAAACTTTATACAATTCTAAATGCAACTCAGAATGAGAGTGTAACAATTTAACAAGGAAGAGTACATTTAGCCTGTCCAAATTTTCAGATACATGACAGGGTCTAGAGGTTTTTATTATGCCGTTTAAAGGGACACTCCATTGTCCAAATACAAGAAAATATAAAATCACTCTTGAATAGATGTAGCCCCAATGAAAACATGCATACATTTAATTATGCCTATTTTCATTGAGATATATCTAAAAGAAAAAGCTTGCAAAAGCTGCAGATCTCTTGTCTAGAGCCTTTGCAAGCCTTCCCCGTCATACCCTGCCCAGACTTTCTGTGTCTGTCCAATCACAGACCTGCAAAGTATTCATACTTGTAAAAACTCTCTTATAAAATCATAATTTATGCAGTAAAATGTTACCTAAGGTGCTGGTCCATGCTCTTGTTTTCTCTCACCTTGACTACTGCAATACCGTTCTCAGTGGTCTTACGTGTTCCCAGATTGTTCCGCTGCAATCTGTAATGAATGTGGCAGCGAGGCTCATTTTCCTGTCCGCTCGCACCTCTCACGTCTCCCCGCTCTGTCAGTCACTATATTGGCTTCCAGTTTGATATAGAGCTCAATTTAAAATTCTGGTGCTTGCTTTCAAGTCCCTACATAATGCTGCTGCAACCTATCTATCCTCCCTAATACCCAAATATATCCCGTCGAGGCCCCTATGCTCTGCCAAAGACCAACGTCTATCCTCTGTCCGCACTCCCACCTCTAACACTCGCCTCCAAGACTTTTCCAGGGCTGCACCTCTTCTGTGGAACTCCCTTCCCTTCTCCGTAAGAATTTCACCCAGTCTCCATTCATTCAAAAAAATCATTGAAAACTCACTTCTTCAAGAAGGCATATCAATTAAACTGTTAGCGGGTTTTCATCCCCCACCCTCCATGACTCCACTCCTGCAACTGTCAAAAATTACCTACTAAGCCCTCAATTAATACTTTTCTAACAACTCTAGAATGTAAGCTCATTGAGCAGGACCCTCCACCTCTCTGTTCCTGTACATCCAGTTGTCTGGTTACAATTACATGTCTGTTAGTCCACCCATTGTACAGTGCTACAGAATCTGATGGCGCTATATATATAATAAAATAATAATTATCCTTTCAAAGAATTATAGGACACCTGTCACATCAAAACTTTTTTTTTAATATAAATATTCCTATCAAATTTTTAAAGTAAATAGATTTTTTTAAATAAATTACATATAAAAATGAGAAAAAGTCATCCCCACCTTTAGTCCATAACAGCATCCCTCAGCCATATACATGTATCTTGTGTTAGACATTGTTTTATAACTGAGTTAGTCTCTGTGGTCTTCACTGTGTCTACTCGACCAGAGAGACTGTCGGACATGCATGTATTCACAGAGAATCAAAGTTTAGTGAAAAAAAATTGTGAGTATCATCAATAAACAACACAAAAAAGTGTTGAAGATTTTTATTTTATTTTTTTGCAAAGTGAATCAACCACAATGGATATCTTTCAGTCAATGTTGTCGATTGTCTTCATTATTCACAATCCGTTGGCTCTCAGGCTCTGAAAAACAAACTTAGATTCAATACTCTGATTAAAATAGAGAAGGTTATCACCAGAAGTCTGGGGTCAAGTCTGTATTGAACTAAGCCCTGCTTGAACTGTTCAGAGATCGCTCCAGTTTAGATGCAGGGAAGAGAACATTCTAAAAATAGTTTCACTCAAACACCGGATAATTTAATGAGGTTCGCTGAGATCAAGAATGATGGGTTTATCTCAGTATCCATTAATTCTCAGAAATTTTGTATTATGCTAGGCTCAAGCTGTTACAAAATAACTGTGTTTTTTTTCCAATCTGCAGAGCTGTAATAGAGCACACTAGACCGACCTGTGGATTACTTGTACAGACAGAATATTCAAGGATGTAACTGATAAGTGCGTGAACAGGTTGATGGTCCCAGGAGAAATCTGATTCTTATTATGGAGTAAGGAAGGTTTTTTTTCCCTTTTTGTGGCATAATTGGACATGGCTACAATCAGGGCTAGCACGACTGCTGGGCAGCTGACCAGGGTGCACGGGCCCAGGGTGGAAGAGACCATAAAGTGACAGTGGGTGGGGGGGGGACCATAAAGTTACAGGTGGATGAGAAACCATAAAGGTAAAAGGGGGAGACACACAGAGGGCTGGGGTGACAAAGAGACATTTAGTGGGGAGCAGGGGGACACACAAAGAGGCACACAGAGAGGTTGGGGGATACACAGAGGCACACAAGCACAAAGAAGGCTGAGGGGACAAAGAGACACACAGTCAGGCTGAGGGGTCAAAGAGACACACAGTCAGGCTGAGGGGTCAAAGAAACACAGTGGGACTGAGAGGGACAAAGACACAAAGTGGGGCTGGGGGGGGACAAAAAGACACACAGATAAGTTGGGGGCAAAGAGACACACAGAGGAGCTGGGGCAAAGAGACACACAGAGGAGCTGGGGTGAATAAAACACACAGAGGGGCTCGAGGGACAAAGAGACACACATAGTGGCTATGTGGAACAAAAAATACACAAAGAGGGGCTGGGGAGGACAGATGAAATATGGTGTTTGATAAATTTGTTAATTTTATTTTCTGTATAAATTGAGAATTGCTGATATTAAAGCAGACACCGGACTGTACCAATTGAGATGCACTAATTTGTTGAAATGTGCGAAGTTTCACTGGATTTGCCTAGTTTGCATGAGAATTGATAAAGTTTCTAATTCTGTTATTTTAACCAGTTAGTGATAAAGGTTTGAGACTTTAACAGTTAGATTCCGATTCCCATTCAACTTTACTTGACACTGGACCACGGACATACAAGAGCAATGACACACAGTTATATAACCACTCAAAACCAACACAAAAATGCAAAACATACTAAAAACAAAAAATGTGAAAGTGCACTCAAAAATTATATTTAATATAATATTACATTTAATTATAAAAAAAATACTCTCCTGGTCACAATATAACTATAAGGAAAAAACGTAAATAAACAATAACATATTGCAGTATGTCTTTAAAGAAACGAATGGGTATATTGTTACGAGGAGGGTATTTATTTTTAATATTTTGTGTTCGCATTCACATTTTTTTATTTTTAGTTAAAAATATTATGTGCCCATTCCAAAATCTTGGATCCTGACGCGGGAGTTAAGTAATAACTCCCGTAAAATGTGCCTGTAGCAAAGTAGCTGCAGAGTAACAGTAGATTTGCTACGAGAAACGCGTAGGTACAATGCCGGCAGAAAAGTTTACAATCAGAGACAGAGAAAGAAGATAAAAAAGTACATCGGGCACTTTAAGTGACACATTTCTAAAGGGTAATTGGTGACCTGTTTCAAAGATTATCTCTGCCCTCTGAGTCAATGGCAAAACTTTGCACTTATAAAATCATTTTCTGACCCCGAATCAGCTCTAATGAAACACTAAAAGGTTGCACTTTTGTCAAATTTATTACATTAACCTCGGAAAATATGATTAACCTTGTTTCACCTTATTTTGGCATTATTTTGCTGTGTTTTTGCCCATGCATGTTCTAACATTTGTACGATGATTAAGCTTATTATTGAGATGGAGGAAGGAAGCATCTAAAATACTGTTATCGCTGCTTCTTTTACTTTTTCTGTAGATTTTTATAAGCTTTTAATCTCTAAGTTCTGTACCAGAACAGTCGGACATGTGATTTTACCCGCAGGATTTAGAACCTCCAAGTGACCTGTAATAGTTGTTACCATCAGTCTCCCAATTACCTGCTATGTCCTTAAAATAGGTGCCCTTCAAAAGTTGGGCTGCTGGATTTAAAACGCTGCTATTATCTGACACTTTGGTTCATAATTGACAACAAAACAGCCTGTATTGTGACAAGTTTCTAACAGCAAACAGTGGATCTTAAGAACACACGTAGCTGAAGGTTTACAAACTATGGGTATTACAGATTGAGCAGAAGAGAATGTCTTACGAATCAGCACTGAGCCGAGTTACGATTTACAAGCACAGAAGTGACACTATTCTTTCAATGTTTTCCCTTTTTTTCAGATCACATTTTAAAGAGCAAGCATACAGCAATAAAAATATATATTATGTCATTTTTTGTATCATTTGCCAGCCTATTATATTCTTTTCCTAAAATACTTTTTTTAAAAACTCGTGAGCAGAATTTGTGTCCCCTCCCCATTGTCAGCGCTTTTTCAAAGTTTTGTTTTTTTACTGCAAATATTTAGTTTCTGCAGATTTCTCAAATGAATTCTATAAACTATAGATATCCTATAAACCTTAAAGGGACACTATAGACACCAGAACAACTACAGCTTATTGAATTTGTTCTGGTGAGTAGAATCATTACCTTCAGGCTTTTTGCTGTAAACACTGTCTTTTCAGAGAAAATGCAGTGTTTACATTACAGCCTAGTGATAACTTCACTGGCCACTCCTCAGATGGCTGTTAGAGATCCTTCCTGGGTCATGGCTGCCTAAAATGCATCCAAACATTCAGTGTCTCCTCCCTCTGCATGCAGACACTGAACTTTACTCATAGAGATTCATTGATTCAATTCATATCTATGAGGAGATGCTGATTGGCCAGGGCTGTGTTTGAATCATGCTGGCTCTGCCCCTGATCTGCCTCCTTGTCAGTCTCAGCCAATCCTATGGGGAAGCAGGGCCACCATCAGAAATTTTGGGGCCACTGACAAAGCACAAGGTCTGGGCCCCCCTTCCCTTCCCTCTCACCCCGGGCCCGCCCATGCCCTACCTAGTCCGCTGACAATGATGCAGGACTGAATGTGGTGTGTATAGTGGAAGTGAATTAGAATGTGTGTAATGGATGTAGTGTATGTGTGTATTAGATACTGTTTTTGCAGTGAATGCAGAGTGTGTGTTTGTGTAGCGGATGCAGTGTGTATAGTGAACGCAGAGTGTGTTTGAGTAGTGGATGTCGTGTGTGTACAGTGATGTGTGTGTTTGTGTAGTGGATGTAGTGTTTATGTGTACTAGATGAAATGTGTTTAGTGGATGCAGTGTGTGTATTAGACGCAGTGTATGTATATAGTGAATGCAGAGTGTTTCAATTTGTGGTGGATGTAGTGTGTGTACTGTGAATACAGAATGTTTGGGTAGTGGATGCTGTGTGTACAGTTAATGCCGAGTGTGTGTTATTGTAGTGAATGCAGAGAATGTGTTAATGTGTAGTGAATGCAGAGTGTGTTTCAGTGTAGTGAATGCAGATTGTGTGTTAGTGTATGCAGTGTGTGTATTGTACTGGTGTATGCAGTGTGTGTATTGTATTGGTGTATGCAGAGTGTGTGTTGTATTAGTGTATGCAGTGTGTGTTGTATTAGTCTATGCGGTGTGTGTTGTATTAGTGTAAGCAGTGTGTGTGTTGTGTTAGTGTATGCAGTGTGTGTGTTGTAGTAGTGTATGCAGTGTGTGTGTTGTGTTAGTGTATGCAGTGTGTGTGTGTTGTGTTAGTGTATGCAGTGTGTGTGTTGTGTTAGTGTATGTAGTGTGTGTGTGTTGTGTTAGTGTCTGCAGTGTGTGTGTTGTGTTAGTGTATGCAGTGTGTGTAAATGTGCAATCTGGGGGTGGGGAGAAGAAGGGGCATTTCACATTAATTTCAAATAAATTTTATATTAAATTAGATAAATGATATTCCCCCCTCCCTGCTTCTTACCTGTGTCCAGGGAGGGGGGAGATTCCATCCCTGGTGGTCCGGTGGTATGAGGGGCCCCCCGGCTCCCTGTTACCTCAGAGGGGGCCCAGGACACTGCCTGTTCTCCTCTCTTCTAATAACTCTCACAATACCCACGGCCTTCTGAGCGTTGCCATGGCAACGATCCGCGCAACAAGCAGGCCGCGGGTATCGCGAGACTTATTAGAAGAGAGGAGAAGAGGCAATGTGCTGGGCCCCCTCTGCAGTAACAGGGAGCAGGGGGCCCGCGGCTGCACACATAGATAGCGATATTCGCTATGGTTGTCATGCCCTGATGGCGGCCCTGTGGGGAAGCATTGTGATTGGATCAGGCTACCACTTCTGATGATGTCAGCAGACTGCTTGTTTTTTTTTAGGCAAACAGCATACAGATCTACAGCTTCTGGCTTGAATTCAGTAAGATTTTGCTATATTTATGGAGGCATGAGGGGTCCAGGGGGGCTAGATGGAGGTTTTAACACTATAGGGTCAGGAATACATGTTTGTGTTCCTTACCCTATAGTGATCCTTTCAATTAACAGTGGATTATGGGATATATATATATATATATATATATATACACACATAGATAGATAGATAGATAGATAGATAGATAGACAATCGCAGCAATCGTGGGGTTAATCTTCCTGTAGTGTGTCTCCATATCGGAGGCACACTACCATGGGCAGTTTCACTGATTCAGCCCATGTGATCGCTCTGACCAGGGGTCTGCAGTGAATCCCGATCTGTTTCTCTGGAGCTTCGTGTGAGCTGTGAACTGCAGAGAGACAGATCTGTCTCTCCCTGTAAAAAAAAGTGTTAGCAATAAAATCCCCCCCACCTCACCTCTTTCAAATAAAATGTAACCCCTTCCCTGCCCTTTGATCACTGTCTTTGATCACAGTATTTCACTGTGATCTGATTTTTTTCTTTTAACCCCTGAGGGTTAACGTTTATTTTTTTTTAATCCTCAGGGGTTAAATGTATTTAATTAATTGAGTTAAATATTTAAAAATATTTATTTAGCTAGCAACATATGATGTATTATACTGCTGTAGCACATATAAGGTTTGCAAAATATATATTACAAACTCATTGAGTATGTCAAAAAGGCATAAAAAATGCTTATTACCACTACACTTGGTATAAGCTAGCGGAAAAATTATTTCACGCAAAGGTTCAAAACACGTCTTTTGAAATACCCTAGGGTGTCTTCTTTAAGAAATGGTATGCCTTTATGGGGTAGCTGGAATAATTAACCTAGAAAAAAACCTCCAAAGTGGGGTATGGACACAGCGTAAAAATGTAAAGTTTGAAAAAACTTAAATGGCTGTGTCTCAAATGTGCCCCTTCAATGTCCGCATATACCTGGCAAAGGTACATATGGGGGTATTGCTGGACTCAGATGACATAGCTGAGCCAGATAGGAAGTATTCTATAGCCGTAGCACACATAATGTTTGCAAAATACACAGTACAAACTCACTGTGTGTGTCAAAAAAGCAGAAAAAATGCTTATTACCACTACACTTGGTACAAGCTAGCAGAAAAATGATCCCACGCTAAGGTTCAAAATATGCCTTTTGAAATACCCTGGGATGTCTTATTTAAGAAATAGTATGCTTTTATGGGATAGTTGGAATATATAGCCTGCTAAAAAACTCTAAAGTGGGGTAACAACACAGCGTAAAAATTCAGTTTGAAAAAACCTGCAATGGCTGTGTCTGAAATGTGCCCCTTCAACGTCCACATATACCTGGCAAAGGTACATACGGGGGTATTGTTGTACTCAGACAACAAAGCTGAGCAATATATAAAGTATTATAAAGCCTTAGCACACATAAGGTTTGCAAAATCTACAGTACAAACTCACTGTGTGTCAAAAAGGCAGAAAAAAAATGCTTATTACCACTACATTTGATACAATGTAACGGAAAAATTATCCCACGCTAAGGTTCAGAATTTGCCTTTTGAAATACCCTCGGGCGTCTTCTTTAAGAAATAGTATGCCTTTTTTGGGTAGTTGGAAAAAGCAGCCTGCTAACATATTTAAAAATAGAATACGGACCCATTAAAACTCTCCATGTAAATTCACACTTAAAAACCTGAACTTGTCACGTCTCTTTCACAGCACTGTAACTTCACAAAATAGTGTCTAGGTCCTACATTGGGATTATTGTTTTACTCAGAAGAGGTAACTGAGCATACTTAGGGGGAATTTATGACAGTGGCACTTATCAAATGTAAGATATACCCAGCGAAAATGCAACATGTATGTAAAAAAATTTAATTTTTATTTCTCACCACAAAATTTGAAGAAATGGTGGCAAGTTAAGGTATAATATATGCCTAATAACATACCCTGGAGTGTCTGCTTTCTCAAATGGAAGGCCTTTGTGGGGTTATTTGAACAGTCAAATGGCTATAATGCCACAAAATCAGACATATGACCATCTATGAAAATTCCAACTATAGAAACTGAAATAGCATGGTCTCCTATATGGCATTGTAGCTTCACAGAATAGGAGCAAAGGTATACAATGTGGGTATCGTTTTACTCAGCAGATGTAGCTGAACACAATATGTGATTCTGTACAGGGATAGCACACACTATGTTTATGAAATACACATTACAAAAACCTTGTAATATGTGTATATGCCAAAATAGAGAAAAAATAAAATTTTACTCCAATATTTGGCGGAGATTGGCGGTGAAATGGCTACGTAAAAAGTGTCAAACTAACCTTAGGTAAATAGCCTATGATGTCAAACATAGCAACTTCTAAAATTGTTTCACATTGAAATCTTATTTTAGACCTTGTAGTTTGTGACCTGTAACTTTCAAAATAAACTGAAATCCTACACATATTATGCACTTTGTAAATCAAGACACATAAATTAATTGATTTTCAATTACTTTTCCTAAGCTGGACATATTATGCACACATTATTATTGCCAAAACATGGGGGGGAAAAGCATTTCTTTTGGTAATAAATGAGAATTTATACATGTATATGTCACATCAAATTAAAGCCCTTTTTGTTGTCTAAAAAACGGTATATAATATGTGTTGGTACAATAAATGAGAGAGATGCAAATTGCATTTGAAAACAAACAGCAAAAAAATTCAAAAATTGCTTGTGTCCTTAAGGGTATGTCCAGCTTCTGAAGCTGTGTCCTTAAGGGGTTAATAAATACATAGTTGGTAAAATAAATATTATTGAATATAGAAAAAAGCTCTTTTGTTTTAGATATTCTGTCAGTTGATTTTCTCCTCTGTGTTGCCATTGTGTTGAAAAAGTTTGATAAGTAAAAGCATCATAAATCGTGTACAACCTTTCTTGGGCAACAACCACACCTAATAACATTTGATAGTCAGATAAGGTGGGATAAGCGTACCACCATAGACCTCTCAGGTGGGTGGTTATGTGCGTAAAGTAGCATATATTGGACTGTACATGCTTGGGAGAAGATATTTCCTACTACATTCTTCTTCTATATCCCATCTCTATTGGTAATTTATGTACGATGCACATACAGTTTACTAATCACCATCAGTGAATAGCTGTGCAATACAGTTAAATAATAATAATATAATACTAGTAACGTCAATAATTAACTGTATAACTTTCTACATGACATACAAAGTCTAGACAATGCATCTCGTCCACGTTCAGTCTATATTTTAGGCTTACGTTTTTAGGAGCAGAAAGAATAATGGTGATGTGCATTCTGCTTAATTTCTAGAGAAATAAGAGAGGAACAAGTAGCCTTTCTCTTTCAGCGGTAAAACCCGAAAATAAATCTGTGTTAATTAGTCAAAATAAATGTATGCACTCCTGCTTTACATTCATGGGTTTTGTGTACAAAGTAATTGCTTGTTCTAGTCCTGCATAGTTCAACAGCCAACGGGTGTTAAACATTGACTTGTTAAAAAAACCTTGTTTATTTGTT